TGAGGCAATGGGGGGGGGGGGGGGGGGGCGGGGGGTGGAGGCGAGCATGGGGACGTGGGGGGGGGGCACCGGAGCGCGCGGTCGGCCTCGGGCACCAGCACGATTGTCGCCCGGGGTCGCGTACGACCTCATGTCACGGCACATCAAACGCGCACAAAAACATAAAATAAAAACCGTACACCTCCGGGCGATATTCCGAGGGAAAAAATATAAAAATAATAAACATGTGCACGTAATGATTTTCGCCTCCAGTGTGTATATATACGACCGCGCGCGCGCACGCACACGCGTATAAATACATACTCTCTCACACATACACACTCACGTTTATGAACGCATATTATTGATATGTATTTACTACTTATGATGATGGTGATGATGATGCATATATACACACGAGCCATCAGTACTGGGTACTCTAACACTCGCACGCGGGAAACAGGCGCAAGTCCGCGAGACCGTTCGATTGGTTTACTTTTTACGATTTTATTTTTGTTGTTTACCTGGATAGATAATACGCCTAATATATGTAAATCGTATTATTTTTATTTCGCCAATGACCGAAATCCTTTCCATGCGGTCGTTATATTATATTCTTCCAATACAACGACACTATATAAACATATTATACAATATTCTTCTCCCTCATTAGGTATCTAATTATATATGTAAAATAAATATACCATCTACACACATATATGTGTGTGTGTGACTGATATATACTTTGATAATTTTACAAATTTTTCTATTATACCTACCCGCTAATGCATGACATTATGCGATTATTAATATGTATAAGTATGCGCGCGCGCACATACATTATAATATTATCATATATGTGTGGGTGGACTCACGGCGCCTTCGATGAATCATGTATTAATAATAAATGGGTAATACATCATATTATTATGCATGTAGGTTTACACACCGGCGATTACGATGATGGACACGCCATGCACGCAATACCGACCGATGGCAGTGTTCACTTGATGTCCCATTATTTTAGTTTCCGTACAAAACGATATTGCCAGCTAAGTATTACAAATAGACATAATTTTAAACTCGCAAGTGTATACCTTATTATTTTTTTAAAGAGCGGTAATAACGATTTTACTTTTACCTAAGCATAGAACCTGACGAATAGATATAAACTATAAAAGATAAAACTAGAGAAATCTGCATTATTTTAGTAACAGCCCAAGAAATCTTTTAAACAATTGAACGTTAAGAATTTAAAATAGAATTCATGAAAAGTATTTGTTATAATAAATGATAAGAAAAACAAATTATTTTTCAAACTAAATTTTTTGAATAAGTATTTCAGTCAATTAATACACTGTTACAGAGATTCTGAGAATTGGGATATTGTATTCATCAATCAAACAGTTATACAATAGGTATCCGAATTTCTTATTAATTTTTTTTTTTAATTATCGAGTAAGAAATTAAACATTTAAATATAATAACTGTTTAAAAATAGATATCATGCATGTAACATAATCACATAAACAACAATCAATGTTAAAATATAAAATCCTCAATTTTTGTTTATTATATTGGTATATTTTGTAAAATACCGAATAAAATTTAAGATATTAACCATAGTATATGAATACCATAATCCGTTATTAGTTGCACATATTTTCATATTTTAACTAATTAATGTAAATTATAATTAAAAAATAAATACATTTTGCAACCATTCTTGTTTGAATAATAACAGTCTTCAACAAAGCCCAGGGGCGCAATTTTAATTAAAAAAATAGGGGGCTTCGGTACCCTCAGTTTTTTCTGTTTTATGAACAAAGATTACACAATTGATAACTACATGTTTAACATCATGATTTAATACCTGCTATTAATATGTTAATTTATAAATATGAAATAAGAACTTACTAGCCAAAAATTATATAAATTATTAAGAAGCATATTTCAAAATTGGGAAAATAATGAAGGTCACCAATGCATTCCTCCCCTTTAAAAAAAAATTATGCTTATCTGCTATAATAAAATATAAAATGTACCTATTCTTAGTATACCATTAAAATTTCAATATAAAAAAAATAAAACTACAAATTAAGGTGTGTTTAATGTTATACTGTCATTATTGTACAATATTTTAGATTTAAAATTTAAAATAATAGCCATAATTCATATAATATATTATATTAATTAAAATATTCTTTATACTTGTCGTTATACCTACAATATATTATAACTTAACATTTATTTATTAAAAAACTAGCACTATTCTTAAAACTAGATTTTTACTTGAGAACTTGAATGCCTGATATAATTATTGAAGTTTAAATAATAAATAAGGCTGTAATTGTACAATTATTAGTTACCTTTTAATAATCGGGCCGGACTCCAGGGTGACTTCTTTTAAACACAAAAAATAAAATGTGAAATTTCAGGACTAAAAATATTAATGGATTATGTATTTTTACACAAACACATTTCCAACTAAAACGTTCAAACGGTTAATTCGAGAATAATATTGTTAGTGACTCGGTCACACACACCACTCGTAATGTAGTTATCTCGAGTACTGAAGACTGAACCATTGAACAGCACTACAACAGCAAAGCACGTTCAGATTACAGAAGACCGCCACGGCAATCAAGAACCGCGCTATCTGGTGTTTCCAGCGTAACTACTGAACAAGCTACAAAATATGAAATTTACGACATGTTGTACTATATTGTATTACTAAATAAATATTTAGGAATTTTATAAATTATTCTTTATTTTACTTAATGCCATGTAATACTTTATATTAAGAGGACGCTACACGGATATTTGTTGTCTCTGTTTTACAAGAGCGTAACATAACAAATTTACATTCAGTAGATTAAGTTTAACTTCGTTAGTTTAAAAATTAGGGTGAATCGACCTATAATGAAACTTGATGGTAAGAACATTTTCTGTGTTTGTATGTGGGTTTTTTACGATAGTTCGGTTTTTTAGTGAGTTTTATGAATGCAAAATATAGTAAATTAAAAATGCTTATAATTTACTTAAAAATTTGAATTATCGTAAAAACCAACAAACTAACAAAGCTAAACCAAATCTACTGAACGTAAATTTGCTATGTTAAGCACTTGTAAGACAGAAACAACAAATGTCTGTGTAGTGTCCTGTTGCGGTTCTGATTTAGGGGTAATGGGGGTACGAATTGCGGAATAAAAATCCCCGTTCCCAAAAAAATCACTAAAATGCAATAATAGTAATAATAGTATATTATTTACAAATCAAATCCATAAAAAAAAAGAACAAACTCATACATTCTTGTATAACAAATAAAAAATATACAAGTAGCAGAGTAGGGCGTAATTCAAATAAAATTGTGTTTAAATGATTATTCAAATAATATTTTACTCGAATAAAAAATAATTTAAATAATTTTTTAATACAATTATTTGAATAATTACTAGTTAATAGTTATTTTATTTGATTGAAGATTAAATATATCATAAATAATAATTTTAAACAAACAATTATTAAAAACAATATTTGACTAATAATTTTGTATTTTAAGTCACATAACTATAAATATTATCTTATTCTGAATAAATTCAAAAATATTATACGCAAAGCATATCTATATAGAACTACATAATGGAGAAAATATAATATACATTTTAATATTACTTTAATAATTTCGTTATGGATAATTACGACAATAATAAATAGTTGTAAATAATAAAAACAAAAATTAAAATTAATAACTATAAATTAGATTTAAATATAACCCTTTCTTCAAACATGTTATCTGATAGTTGATTGCATTTCATTATAATTAATATAAAATATAAATTATACTATAATATATTAGTATTAGAATTATGTTTGAAAATTAATCAAATAATTTTAATTGAAAATTATATAAATTGTTTTTTTATATATATATATACTATCAAAGGTACCTTCACACTGCCATCGTACACATCAATGACATTTGAAGTTCTTAAAATATTATTAAAATACTAGAAAACGAAATATCTGATTTCGGAGATTTGTATTCAGTTTACCAGAGAGTGCTATATGGTTTATATGGTCATACATCTCTCTTCAAAGATAACTTGAACTTATTATTCTTATGATCTTATCGATACTATATGATTTAACAACTACCTACTTCAGTTCCAAATTTCAAGTTCCTACCAAAGACATATTTATAATTAAATAAAGACATTTTTATTAGTTCTTCCTGTGTCTTGTCCAATATTAAGAAACATTTCATTATTTGTATTCTATAATAGGTTTTAACCATGATACATGGATATAAATAAGTTGATTATAGTGTACCTAGTTTTGACTATGTCATCCATAGACAAATAAATGTATATAAATATCGACAGTATTATTGTATACATAATTAAATGGTTATATACTTATATCTATGTATATGAGTAATACGATCTCTTACTATTTGTCTCCAATTTAATCATCTCTAAATTTCATTAGTCAACTAAATTTCCTGTTTTGTAATCTTTAACACAGTAAAAGTTTATTTTATTTTCAAATCTAGTTTTCTTAAAAAAAAAATTGCAATACAGTGATTTCTAGTATTTATATCTTGTTCAGATTTTTCAATATTATTTAAAAATACTTATCACTATCTTCACAAATACAATAACTTTATTATATTTAACTTAAAGATAAGTAAATGTTTTTATTGTTGTTATAGTTAAGGAAATTCACTCAAAAGTAATAATCGTGTTTTTAAATAATATTCAAAATATATTATAATATCATTGTTAATATAATTATTTTATCCTTATCTAAATTTTAATCCTAATATATAATATGTTAAACATCAACAGAATAATAATAAAATTGAATTTATAATGAAAAATATCACAGTAATTAACCCTTCTATAGATACATTTTAATTATTAATATTATTTTTAAAGGCAGTTATTGCTATAAAACAATAATTAATTAAATATTTTTACTTAATACAAAATATTTTAAATTTTTGAGTAAATAAAAAATATTACAATAGATTAATATAAAATGTTTTCAATACTTTTGAAAATATTTAATTATACTTCTTGAAGTTTAGACCGTTCTTTAATTCTTTTGCATTTAGGACAGAAATCTCTATTTTTCCAACATTGATAGTGATAAACATTATCACATTTATCACAGCCATGGGCGTCTTCATCGAATGGAAATATTATTGAGTCCTTTTGACAAAGCTCACAAATATATCCTTGATTTTTACAAATCTAAAAATAATAATACATATTCAAAATATTATTTATGGCAGTTTTATTATAAAAATGAACTAACTTCGCATTCATATCGAATATGTTTTTCACAAATGTCATTTACTTTCTGTAAATCTTCTAAAAAAAGTCCTGATTTTATTTCAACCATATCTTTCATACTATACAAAATACTATCATATAGTAATTCATGACATCTTGAGGATACATTTTTTAATTGTGCATTCCAAACTTTGCATAAAACCAAGTATTTTTTCATTTTTATTAAACTATTTTTAATATTCTGTAAAAATCCAAGATTAATAACTTGTTTGATAACAACTTGTAACAAAAAGGAAACTTAGTTTCTTACTTTGATTTGATTGAGTGACTCTAAATATGTAAAGAGTTTAGGGTTGTGTTTTTCCAAATTATACATTTTTGATTTAAAATTATAATTAAGTAGTTGAAAAGATGCCTGGCTTACACATTTTTTCTCAAATTGCCAATTACATAGAACACGTGCTGGTATTAAAGCAGTATTATTCCAATGATGTAAAGGACAGTAAAATTTTCCATCATAATCACATAAGCGAGCTTCTAATGAAAGAGTATCTTCTAAAGAAAAAAATTATTTAATTAATATAATAAGTTTTGTTATTATGCAAATTGTATACTTAAAATATTATTATTTTATTTTACCAGGTGACATTTTGGAATTACGAATACGAATATATGATTGGCATTCAGCACATTTGTAATCTTGAGATAACAATCCATTAGATGGAGTGATAGTTAAAATCATAGAATGTTCACTAGCAAAAACTGCAGTACAAACCCTTTTAATTTTATTTAAACAAAAAATATGACTACAGTATCCACAATCTACAATAACATAATAATTTAATTGTTAGATATTTTGTTTAATGAATAAAAATAATAATTATTTTACCTGAACATTCATACAACTGATGCATGTATTTCCAAATAGTTTTTGTACATACATCACAGATTTTATTTTCTAACAAATTTGGCTTCCATATAAAAGATAAATGATGGCCAAAAATCACTTTGGCTTGATTTAACTGATCTTTGTTTTCTAAAGCCTTTATTTCTATTGTCATTTCTAATTTGAATCTTAACTCTACTAGTCTTCTGACCAATCGCATACGTTCTTGACTACACTCTTTAGTAGTTCTTATCAATTGATTGCATTTTTCAATTTCTTTTTTCAATTTATCCTCATTTAAATCATTCTAAAAAGTGATAGCAAATAAATATTTGAACTGAAATAGGATATTTACTATTTATCTACTTCATTTATTGTTAAAAAGTTATCAGATTTAGATGTTGAACTTTCAGATGACACTGAATCAGATGATATTGATGATTGAGAAATTACTGAATCATTCATTTCAACATTAAATAAAAAATCCTTGGGTAATGAACTCATAGAAAAGTTACTATGCACCTGAAATCATAATAATTTTTGGTATAAATTATTTAATTAACTATAGACATTATATTAATCTTATTCTCATATTTCGTAATTAAATAATAATCATAATATTTTTAATATAAAATTAAAATATATAATGATAAATTAATACCATAAAATTATACAAGATATAGTACATTATTATTAATTTATAAGTTTTATTGTAACACATTCATTTACGTACCAGGTTTATTTAAAATGTCTAAAATACATCGAATTATTTACTACTATTTAGTAAAACGTAAAAAAATAATTTGTTTGATATGTTATAAAATAACTTAAAAAAAAAAAAAAACACCATCTACTGAAGACTTCCTCTATGGACTATGACTAATCATGAACATTCCCTAATCACTATATTATAGTGTATGTGGTATTATGGTAGTCGAGCTATGATAACAGAAATACGTTTTATCATTGAATCACATATTTCTGATAAGAATAAATAATATATTATTAATTATCAACAAGAATAAAGATACAATTAATATGTATATTGTATAAGTATTTACTATCTTAGTACCTATATCTCAAATTAATCATATTTATTATAATTTTATTTAAGAATTTGTGATTTTTGTAATCTAATCTATTATGGTCGAGGATAACTTTACTGGTCGATTATATTGAATTATTATGATAACAATTAACAACATAATATTTGTAATAATGGCATTAATAGTATAAATTATACCTATCCTATAAATAAATCCATGACCATTAAGCAATTAGTAATAACCATAATAAATAATGAATATTAAATAATTCAATAATAATTAATAACATCTTTTCTAACAATAATTAAAATTGTTATTCGTGTAATGGTTGTTTAAATCGTATTTTTTTAACGCTATAAATTCATTACTAGCAAGATACAGATACTAAGTAAGTAGCTTTAATAGTTCAGTTATTAATTATAGTTCTTTTATTCAAGAAACAAGCGTTATTTTTATATTCCTGCAATTCTATATACTGATTAATTGATAATTTGAAGGTAATATTATCATATTTATTACATTTAAATAATATTTTTGTACTTATTTCAATAGTAAAAATATAATATTTTGTTCTTATACAGATTGTACTGTTAATATGTCTTCTGAAAACTGCAAAAAATTTGAATGCAATGAGTGTATGAAAAAATTCTCGAAAAAGAATAATTTAAATGATCATATTTTAGCAAAACATTCCAACTCAAAAAAATATGTTTGCTCAGTTTGTAAGAAACCATTTTCCTACAAACAATCATTCAACAGGCATATGAATGTTCATAAAATAGCAACTTCTGTTTACTCGTGTTCGGAATGTGGCTATAGTTCTCAGTTAAAATTCATGTTGACACGGCATATTCAAAGTGTCCATCTAAATAAAAACAACAGTCTTTTAAAAGTATCTTGTGTGTTTTGCAATCACCATTGCTCCAAAAGTAATTTATCTGCACATTATATGGTCTGTCATCCAACAGAAGTTGTTAGTGAACAATTAAAGTTTGATAGTTTAGATGAATTTTATGCGTGGAAGTATGAAGTTGAAGATCAAGATATTAGTAGGTAAATAATAGTATTTTAATTTAAACATTTAAAGTAATGTTATGATAAGGTTTAATTATATTATTATGTTTTAGATTTGTAAAAGCTCGAACAACCTATGTTGGTACATCTGGTTCAAAACACTTATTTTTTAAATGCCATCGTGATGGAAAATATAAGCCTAAAGGCAATAACATTAGAAAATTAAAAGCACTAGGTACCAATAAAATTGGTTCCTATTGTCCAGCTAGAATGGATGTCAGGGTTGAAGGCAATGAAGTTAGTGTACTTTATATTAAAACACATATTGGGCATGATTTAGAACCAAAACGTTTGACTCTAGCCAAAACTGAGAAAGACTTCCTAGCAGAACAATTAACAATGCCTAATACTAATTACAATGATATTTTAAATGTTGTTAAAACCTTAAATTCAACAAGTCGTTTGCATCATTTAACAAGAAAAGATTTAGTTACAATTAATAGTTCTATAAAAGAGACGGCAAAAAAAAATAATACCATGATTAAAACTAATGATAATCTAGTTGATACAGTAGAAATTAATAATGTTATTGATGGTGATTTAGTAGATTTATTTAATGATCAAAATAACAAAAAGTCACCATTAGTCTTAAATTCAGATAATGGTTGTGTGGGATCTAATAAACAAGATATTGTCGATGTAAATAATACACTTTTGACTTCAGATCATTTAAACATAAAAAATAGTTACACAAATAAAATTCAACCTTTATATGAAATAAATGTTGAACAACAAATGATTGAGTCAAATGAACAAATACCAGTTTTAGAGTTTAATCATGAAGTAAGTAAATATTAACTAAGTCTTATGTTAAAATGCTTATATTAGTCTTGATAAACAAAAATTTAATAAAACAGCAAACAATTCAAATAATTTTTTTAATATTTTTAAATTTTAAATGAAAATTTATCCTATTGGTTTTGTTCTATTGTTGAATAGAATTAGATTGTTGAATATTGATTTTTTTCAATTTTATTCTCTTATATATATATATGCACAAATTTTAATATATTTAATTTGGTTTCATTAAGATATTCAGTTTGTATAATTTTATTAGAATTAGTATTCAAGCTGAATGTAATTATGGCCAATGTAAATTAACCCAATGGTATGATGTTTTATTAATGATCTTGATACTTGACTAAAATGTTTAGATTGGAATTAAGATATGATTAAAGAAATAAATGTTTCAATTACGACATAATTTTTTTTAGATATTGGAAGATAATCAAGTTATAGACTACCAACAACAATTGACAAATATTGAAAATGAGAGATTAAGTTTAATGGAAAAAATGAAATTAATAGTTAATCAAATTACTTGCAATGATGAATTTGCCATAGTTCACCAAGGGCTAATGAATATAATGAGCACAATTGACGAAAGAAGGAATGCAATTGATCAAGCAGTAGTCAATGGTGATTTAGACAATATAATGATATTTGATGAAAGTATTTTACAAAAACAATGCCAGTAGTATCAGGTAATGTAACTAAGATAAAATCACTAATACAAATATCTGATTCTTCAATATTGATTCTAATATGAGTGATTCTGTTTTTAATTATGATTTTTGTAAACAACTGCTCAATTAGTTGATGGTAAAAATATATTATGATTAGGAAAAGAATATAAATGTAATAAATACACTAAAATATGTAGAAAAAAATTGAAGTGTGTAATAATTGTTTAACAAAAAAAAAATTTAAAAAAAATAAGTATGTTTAAAGTTTAGCAAAAAATTAGGTATTTATTGCATACTTAATTCTTGAAACAATGTGAAACTCCATATTTTCTAAATTTTAAATATTTTAAATGGCAACAATTTGATCAGAACATGTTATCGTAATGACTGAACTAATGTTGCACATTGACATAATAAAGGTATACTTCATATTAACTATATCATTTATGTTTAATAATTCTTTAGAATTTAGATTTTGAATGTTTATTTATTTTATATTTTTAGTTAATAATTTTTTTGTAACACATACAAATTTTTCTTTAGTTAAATTTCCTGTATAACCTTATATTATGAACAAAAAAAAATTTACATAAATTTATGTTAAATTATTTTTTAAATTAAATTTATCAAGTATTTATTATTTTAATGTTAATACAATAATAATCATATTAATCTATCCCTACTTTTTAATATTATAATAAAAGTTCAAGTATTATATTTCATAATTTATCATTAATCATTACTTTTAAATTTTTTACCACTCAAATTTAATACTTTGGTGGTGGTCAAAACTTAACTTTTGTATATAATTAGAATTGTTTTAAAGATTGTGATGATAAGAAATTCTTAATCATTTGTATTTAAAAGTTTGTGAGATATTTTGTATTTCATAGTTTACAGCACTTTCTAGTTTAATATCTCTTATCAATTATCAGCAAATTAATATTGATGTGTTGTTATTTGTGTTTTGTTACATTATTTCAATTTGTTTATCTTTATCTGTAGTATTCAACAATTAAAATTTTACAAATTTTGAATTAGCTGACTAGATGTATTCTTATCGTGTTTTTTAGTACCTCTAAGATGCATTTAATTTATGATAATTCATCTATTAATTTACTTTTATTATGTAAACATGTTAAAATTTCTTTAAATTTTTATATTTGCCACGCGTTACAATTATTAAATGAATAAATTCAAAATTTATATCAGATTTAAACGTTTTATGACCATGCCGTTTCATTTAAAAAATGTATTTAGTTCTAGCCTTTTAATACTGCCGTATTTTTTCTTCTCAATTGCAATTACATTTTACCAAAGATCATTTTTACAAGTATGAACAGCTGTTACTACAAATTATGTACTTCTGTTTTTAGTTTTATCTTAAATAAAATGTATACATTATTTTTTTTATAGATTTTTCATTTTCCTCTGCTTGTTGTTTCATGTCATTTGGTTTTAAAATTTCTTGCTTCAATCATTTATCGGTATTTATATCATGCAACTATGAGAATTCCTATTGTACAATTATCTTGGGACAATAAAGTTTCAAAAATTGCACCAATTGGAATTTCAAGCGGTTTAGATGTTGGATTTTCAAATTGGGGCTTAGAACTTGTTAATGTTTCATTGTATGTATTATTAATTTTAAACATTAACTTATTTCTTTATTAATATATTATAAAATTGTGTGTTATAGGTACACTATGACAAAGTCAACAGCTATTATTTTTGTGTTAGTTAATGCGTTGATATTACGTCTAGAAAAAGCAGTGAGTTAAAAAGTAATCATAATACTTCATAAGTATTTTTTTAATATTATTTTTTCCATTTATAGTCAGTGGTACTTTTCATTATTGTATTTTCAATTTCTGGAGGATTATTTTTATTCACATTCAAAACCACAGATTTTAGTACATTAGGATTTATTTTATTATTGACTGCATCATTTGCCAGGTAAATATAAAAATAATTATTTGTGACTTTACCAGATGTTACTATTGTATGTGCAATTGTAAACAATTAATCAATGATATTTTAATTTGAGTACATGTGTATTTATTACCAATTGACTATTTGTATGAAATATGTGTGTACTAAAAAGTAAAAACGTGAACTGTAATAAATAAATGTCATGTTTTTTCTACATTATCTAACTGAACCAGACAAAAAATAGTTTTTATAGATAAGTATTCCTAATGTAAATGGACTATTAAAAACTTTCAATAGATGTATGTATTGAAAACATCAACAAATTTTAATATTTGAATATCATCTTATCTACCAAACAAACCTTAACTATAAAAACATGTGATTTTATCTAATAAAATTATTAAGGTGGTAAATTAATAATGATGTCCTATAACATAAAGTGTTAAATCAAAATGTACTTATCTTTAGCTGTAAGAATGTATAATACTTGATATATGTCTAATTTATTATATAATGCACATTTATTTATTGCAGTGGTTTTCGTTGGACATTATCACAATTTGTTATGCAAAAAGCAGATATGGGCATGAGAAGTCCTGTTGATATGATGTATTTTAGTCAACCTTGGATGTTTATTACAATATTTCCTATTTCATTATTTTTAGAAGGTAAATATATTTATCACATAAAATTATAAACAAGCTATCTTTTAAAACTTTAACTTTTGGCTTTGTTTTACATTGTAAGAAATTTAAAAATAAGTTTTATAATTACTGATTAATAATTAAAATTATAGCTAGTTATTGATATGATATAATAAGTTTTTTAAAGTTGGAATATCTAATGTTACACAACTTTTTAATTATATATTTTTTTTTCTTGTTCTTTTAATAACATTAGTGTAAAAATAGGAACATAGTTAATTGGAACCATATTGAAATTTATAATTGATTTTAAAAATGCTTGTATTAATTTAAATGTAAATAAGTAATAAAGTAAAAGTTAGAAATAGTTTTAAAATTAGTCCAAGTACTATAAACAATCAATGTTAGATTTTCAGGCTTCTATTCTAACAAAAAAAATAATATATTATTTAATGAATAATTAATAATACCACTTAATAGGTATTTATATATTAATGTTCAGTAAAGTTTTAATTTAGTATTTTATCGTTTTTATTAAATGATAGTTGTTTTTTTTTAAATTGTTTTCTTAATTATTTTATTACTTATTTCTAGGAAATGATTTTTGGAATTGGTGGATAAATAATGAAAACATTGAATGTTTTCATATGATTTTACGTATATTAATTGGATCATTTCTCGCTTTTGGACTTGAAGTATCAGAGTATTTTGCTGTTTATAAAACATCAAGCATTACATTAAGTGTAGTTGGTATTATTAAGGTTAGTATAACTTAATCTGTTAGTTTAATATATTGTTTTAATTGAGTTTTTTATCAGGAAATTTGTATTTTGGTATTGGCTGTGGAATGGAATGGTGACAAATTGACTACCATGAAATACTTAGGCTTAGCTATGTGCATGATAGGTGTTATTGGACACGTATGGCAAAAATTTTCAAGATCAATTGAAAATCCATATGGTATTATTAATAACGAAGATAATAAACATTTAACGTTACCAGATAGCGATTCTGATGATTCTGGTGATTTAAATAGTTCGACTGAAGTGCTTTTTGATATATTAAACAGGAGACATTCTTAAATAATGTTGATATGCTTTATGTTTAAAAGGCTGTGAACTTTTTTTTTAAAGTGAATACATTTTCATTCTTAAAAATTCAACATTGTTTAAAATTCACCGACTTGATTGTTTAAATAACTGTGATATATACCATTATTGTATTTATTATTTGTTTATTTAGTATTTAAATCACATTCGCTTAAATTTTAATTTATTTGTTAATGCAAATTTTTTTGTTGAAAGCATTAAATGTTTTTTTATTATTTATTAATACTAATTTAATAATACTTTTATATATTTGTGATTGTTTGAATTATTATTTTTAATTTTATGGAAGGTTCAAGCCAAGTATTGGCTGTGTTTATAGAATTGTATCATAAATTATTAAAATAGTATATAATCAAATTTTATTATTGTTGACATAACAAATATTAACATATTATGTCGTATTCAGTACTTTATGAACATTATAAATTAAGATATTATTTATGAAATTATTTATGTACCATTGTATTGAGCATTATATTTTTGTACTTTTATTTATATCAGTGCTTTTAAAATTAAAAAAAATGTGCTTTTTGTTTAATACATAATAATTATGTGCAGTGATTCAATACATGTATAATAATAGAAAAAAAACATAACTCAGTAACTATGAATAATGTTTTAAAATACTTAGATGATAATTGATCATGTTTTGAGATCAAAATTTAACAAAAGAAAAGAAAAATGTTTGTTTAAATTATACTTATAAGTTATATGTACAATTTATATTAAAATTCAACTTAAATCTAAAGGTGTATTTATTTTTCTTACAAACTATAGTGATAATTATTAACATTTAACATCAAAATGAATTGAAAAAAAAAATAATAAGTTGAATGATGTCAATTAAATTATCAAAACTATTACCTAATCAGTTCAACATATAAATAGAAAAAATTCAATAAAAAAAAAAATTAAAATTAAACTGACAATATTATGCATTTATAAATAATATAAACTCAACATTGTCTTCACTTGACTAGCACACGTATGGGTTGAACGCCGCTTGGACGCGGGTATTATAAATACATATACATATTATCGTATAATTTGTATCATAATATTATAATAGGTGATCTACGTTATTGAACGGACACCGGACGTCCGACTCTCATCTCACTTTCAGCGATCGCCATCCACTGATTGCGGCTGGTGTCGAACCACGTCAGCCCAAAGTTGTACTTGCCGTTGAGGTTGGCGTGCTGACATCGCGAGTACCACCAGCCGCCCTCGTAGTTAGCCGCGCAGTTTGCAGCGCTGTCGTCTTGGTCGCGGTCCGTCGTGCTGAACCGGTGACCGTTTTGGAAGGACAGCGCGTCAGAGGCGTTACCGCTATAACCTGAAATGCCCAGCCGGTAACCATCGGTGGCGTTCGATACCGCGAAGTTCGCATAATCCGCCCGCCAATCGTTACCGTAAATGTCGGTTATCTGGACGCGCAGTGAAGAAGCGTTGTCCGCAGTCAGCCGGTGGATGGCGTCGTTCCCCAGCCAAAAGTCGCCTGTGAACCACAATTTATATTATAGTACAATACAGCAGGCAATTTAGAAATGTCATTAATTTACTATTGAATCAACAAAAGTTAGCATAATTTTCAGTACCTAGTTCTAGCATTGATTTATGAATGCCATTAATATTGATTGGGTAAATGGTGGAGGACAGACGGGCAGAGTCTTCCTCAAAATGATACGTTTACGTTGAAAATTTAAAGTAAGTTCAAGCCCCCCCCCCCCTGGGTGATATATTTGATCACCCGACGTCTATGGTCTCATGATAGTGATGTCTATATTAATATTGAGTTCACGTCTATATTAGAAATCATTACCTATGCAATAGACAGATTGGTACAATAGTCGGTTGTGGGGACTTTTTCTCTTTAAAAGTTTTATAAAGTTAGCTTAATTTTCCCTAAATAAAATGTATGATTAATGTTTTTACATTAAATTCCAATGATTTATATTTCTATACTCTGTATTTAAAACATATATTTATAAATACCGTCTACTCTGCTATGTGTTATAGGTACTTTATATACTATACAGAGAAAAATAAGAAGGGAGCTCACGAGGACAAACCTTTTTCTGAAGTAAAATGTATATTTATCAGTTTAAATATTAGAATTAGAATAGATTACTTTTTTTCGATTAAATAGCTATAGATTTTAATAATATATGACCATGTCCATTATTTGTTTATTCTATAATAATTGAGTATGGTGCAATGAATTGATGTGTATAGTTTATTTTTTTAGGTACCGAATCACTTATACAGTTGACTGTGAACTACGTCAATGAATTACAGGTAACATTTAAAAGAAAGATCCATGTCGTGACTATTATAGTCTATAGGTAACTATAATTTTAACTATTTTCTATTTAAACACAGGATATAAGCATGAGTGATGTGCAACTTAAAAAGTAAACACCCAATTACGTAAAAGGGATGAGTGAATACAAAATAACAAAATAATTTAAAATAAAATACGGCACATTTTCAGCATATTTTTTTTGTTTGTTTGTATTGAGAATAGCTAGTACCTACGTAGGCATAGACAATAGGTTTATATAGACCTATTACACATGTGTGAATTATAAAAGTGAACTATTTTATATTTTTAGTTTATTTAATGAAACTAATGTATTGTGAAAATAATTACGTAGGTGTTTGAGTATTTGTATTTTTTTTCTTTTAATTAAGAAGTTGTCGTATAGATATTAATTTTGTTTTGATCTCATATACCCATACATAATATCTAACCATAATCTATAATATTAATATATTATAGGTAAGTAGGTGACCAAATTGTAATTTTAGGTAATATGTATGTTAGGAATTTCTCTAACAATACATTTTGAACTGCGCATCAATATTCAGTAAAGCCTTGAAAAAATACCGTTAACCGTAGGTAGGTATTCTTTATTATTTGGTTTTCGTAAGGGTTACAATAATGTTTTGGTTTTGAAGACCCATGGGGTGTCAATTGTAAAAATTATTCACAAATAAAAACGCTTTGAACATTGTGCTCGACCTTGTAGAATCTAAAGGAGTTATGTGAAACATAACATTTAAATGTTCTCAACTATCTCAATATTTTTCGAACTGACAAAATTATTAATTCACGTGCTAAACGAATCCAAATATATAGGTGATTGTAATATTATTTAATACAAAATTATACACATTAAATTCACTTACAAATTAATTTAAATATTACTCAGTATTAAGTATTCTGATATTCACTTACCATATAAGTTTCCAAATCCTTTGGCATACTCTTCCCAATTGTTATTGAATTTGAGACGATCATTGGTCCTTTTTTGTACCGTGATCCAAGACATACCATCTGATATATCGCATTGAACCAGTAAGGGGTTTTTTCCATCAGGTGCTATGAGGTACGTTCCCGAGGATTTCATTTTAGAACAATCTATAAAACATTTGATTATATATTTAAATTTAATAAATTAAATAACTTTTGAGAAAATCTATAAGCAATATGCTATATATTCCTAAATTGATAAACAGGTATGTTAGAAATAAAATAAACATTAATTTTTGTAAAATATAAATATTGTATTTAGTGTATATACCTAAATTCATATTAGGTAGATTACTTACATATAATTTTTAATAAAAAAAAATTACTTGCATATTTTATGTTCCTACTTTTTAAAATATATCTAAAAATTAATATTAATTAATGCAATGATGGATAAATAAAATAATATGTTGTATTTTTACAATGTAGACATTATTCAAAACTCAAGTTTTTACTAAAACCCTTATTTTAAGCTATAGAAAGCAGAAAGCTTCAAAAAACGCGATAGATAGATATATCTATTATTTTTTGCGTTTATTAAAAAATTATAATATTTATGTCAGAATATGAATTTAACATTTCGTGGAAGTGAATGAAACACAAAGAATTATATAATATCATCTAAAATAATATATATATAGTACACATAATGTACTATGTATAGGCAGGCATATGTTTAGTTAAAACTTATAAATAATATTTTATGTATAATATTTAAATATTCCTTAAACGTGAAATTCAAGCTATTAGTTATACATTTATGGAAATACTGACTAGATAATTAAGAAAATTTTATAATTTTTATTCAGACGAAGGTATATTTATAATGTAATAATGAATGTACCTTTAGTCATACCAGTAGCTATACCTGGTAATTAGTTAATAGTATTATACGTGTTCTTATTTTACTACATGACGCGCATATATAAACATGGAAAACGGAAACAATGCAATAGTAACCGGATGAATATGAATACAAAAACCACCTGCAGTCATATTCGATATGGTTAACCGATCAAAATAATTAACTAGTGAATACTTCTATATTGCTGCAGGGTAACAGAAGCAACCCTATTTATAGTTTACGCTTCAAGAATTTTTTCAACGGACTTTTTCGATTTCAATTCCAGTTTTTTAAATTTTACATGTGTCTTCTATCATATTCCTTTTATAATATTATACATTAATATGTAAAACATTTTAACACAAGTGCATATATATATATGTATTATTCTAACTTCTAGGTAAAACACAGTTTTATTTATTTTAAAGAGTGTATTTTGTTTTATAATTGTATTTGAGGCGTGGACATAAGAATGTTAAGATGGAGTATACGTACTGCGTTATTTACTACGCTCACGTTTTACATTTTTTACCCTTGTGATATTTTATACGACTATTATTGCAGATGTATAAAACTTTTTTTTTTTTTTTTTTAAATTAAAATGAAAATAATTGTACATATTTAAATGCTAATAATACGATATTTATAATTATACACGCACTGACAAATGTGGGATAGTTCTCACATACCTTTGGGAAGTCCGTCGACAATTCTTTCGAATGAATTTTGCAATGTGGCCAATTCGTCGATTACGTATGTGCATTCCGTACAATTTTCTTTCATTATCTAAAAACAAAAACAATGGTTCTATTAGATCGAAATCAATTTTATAAATATTTTCATACACAAACAATTTAAAATATGCAAAAATATGTTAATTAACTATTAATGGTGGCCACGGCGATGTATAGGTACGAGTATAGTACCTTAAAACCTAAACACATAAATGATTTCAAACAATTTGATGATTATTGATATTGTACGATCTTGGATAATAACAATAACTGACAACTGTTTAGCTGTATAAATAAAATAGGTACTTTTTTTAATAAAAAAATATTTTATTTTTCTGGATTTTAAAATACCTGCTAATAGATTGTAATATAATTAAATACCATCATAAAACGTTATTTTATGCGAAGAAAAAAATGTTTTCCCATACTTATGTATTAATGTAAGCACATACATATACATAATATATACAGAATGGTTCTCCAAGCATGCTCGCTCCTTTTTTCATCTAATAATGAATTTATCCAATTTCCTATTTTCAATATTTTTAAATATAGATAGGTACTTAAAAACCATATTTTTAAGTCTTTGAATGTTTTGGCTCTACTTAAAAAGAACGTAGGTATTACTTAAAAAGAAGGAGATGATTCAAACTTGTGTTTTTCAAATGAGATCGCCCTTTATTACTGTAAATTATTTAGTGTATAACTTTTAAGAACGATTCCATGTATTTATCAACTTTGAAATTTGAATATGTAATTTTTCAGTCATTAAAATATTTATACTAAGGATATAACTATTGTCTTTAAAAATGGTTTTACAATAATATAAAATAGATGTAGTATTGGGTCTAGTGTTTATTTTACTTGGACTAGTTTTACTAATTATTTATTTTGAATGATTAATATTAATTACTATAATTGTGAGCATAACCTCCAAATTTTAAAAATCCAATATCATTGATCTATTATCTTTATTCCTTAGTACAAAAGTCAATAAAATCAAAAACTACTCGTTCAAATTTTGATATTATGTCAACATTTTCAAAAAAAATTTCCGGTTAATAATTTTTAAGTAGTAGAAAAGAGAATTCTCATTTAAAAAATAGAGGTTCTATCTCTACAAAACATTCCTTAAATATTACAGAAAATTTCAAAAATCAGATTTTGAAAAATTGTATTATTGAACAAGAAAGTAGGAGCATGTATGAATATATGATGAATCATATTGCATAAATCTTTCTACTCAGCGTGGCGATAAAAACTCTTTAAACTCTTATTTAGTTAGCGAAAATATGTATAATCATGATTATATAACAACGAGTGTAAAATTATAATTACTTGTCTATCGCATATGTTCGATTTAGCCGTATGCGAGTTAAAAATTTATTTTATTTTTATAACCGTTTTTTCTCTTAACTTTTTCTCGAAATAACAATTGAAAAAAGTAAGCCGAATTTTGGCATAATGCGTATTATATTTTGTAATTCGAGCGCTCGCCACTTCCGTTTCATTGAATTTTTCGACCATACATATCGTATCAACATTTGTACGTATATTTCATTGTTTTAATTTTGTACGTCCAACGAATATGGCTCCTTTAATAGTTGTCCTGTTCGAATATTATTGTGCAACCTTATTTTTGTTTATCATTCAAGTACGTGCATATTATAATAACGTTCATAATTCACTATACCAACATATTATGTTATTTATTACAGGCGTTCTAGTTAATAAATGCGTGCGTGCTGTACAATGAGTGTATTACAAGGAGCCGGTTCGTCCGACATATGGAATTGGGCAGGTGTGAGTAGCACCTGACCGTCGCCGCCGACTGTGACCTCGTGCTTACGTCGGGACGAAACAAATATTATGGTAAAAACACTAACCACCTGCCGCCGTCGGGTAGCGTGTGCGTCGCTCCAGGGGCCCCTATACGTTATTATTATCCGTATACAATAATATTATAGCGATCTATGAAATCACCGCAGATGATAATGGACCAGTTTTTTGTCGACCAGGATGAAAATTATTCAGCGAATTGCGTACGGGTGCAAATGTCGACATAATATTATAATTTATAAACGTAATAAATGGACAAACAATGCGCCAACACTTCAAAAAAAATTTTTTTTTTGGATATATACCTACGGAAAATTTAAAATCAAAAAGATCAAAAATAACTCTGCTCGATGTACCGTCACGATTTTAGGGTATATCAAAAGTACCTATATATATACATCGACCACAACATAATATTCATTATTGCAACGCCTGCTGTCAATTAATTTGAAATAGGGTATACGTATAGCTGCGGTAAAAGTATAAGCACCGATAGTATATAATAAGTAGTGATCGCTACAGTTTACTTACAAGGTGGGTCGTAACCGTTTTCCCGGTTTGTTTTTCGTTGTCATACTTGGTCATTTTTCTTTGTATGGCCGACATCCCTTCTCCGAGAGCTTTTGCAGTTAACATTTGGTTGTTCTGAAATCATAACCATTGCAGACTTACAATAAAGTTATTACGTATGACGTGTAAATATAAAGCGCATGATAAGGTATAGTGTTAATTCATTAGTATTATAAAAGTTTGAAATACTTTTCTTTAGTTCGATTTTATTCTTAAACTTTGAATTTTTTTATAAGCTTAATCTCTCCAATGATATATTAAATATATTTATATTAGTTTGTTTAAATAAGTTTTATTCTTTAATTAATCAAAAGGTAACAAAATATGTGTGAACATAAACAATCATTAGAAATGACATTTCTGGTAGCTTAAAATTTCCTATGACATCCATAACTACATAAGAAGATTTACTGCATTTGTTCATTTCCATTTAATCCTGCTCAAAATATTATGAACAAATATATTTTAATTAAACATTATGTGTTTATAGAACGTAATAGTTGCCCGAGTTATAAGTGCTTTTGAGTTTTTGAGTATTAACTAGTGTACTTATATATTATTAAACACTACATTGTCATTTACTCATTTATTATAGTATATATTGAGTAGAGAACAAAAAAATAGGTAGATTCTACTACTCGTTGACATTTTGATTTTAATGCGAAGTTTTAACTTGCAAAATTATGTATGTGGGAATTTTGAGATATTATAATAATACGATGTAGGTACATAGCAGATAGTATAATATTCTACTGGACTCACCTGATCTTCCTTAATGATGGCCACGGACGCGTTTATCCGAGCCACGGTAAATTCGATTTTCGATATTTCTTTGCGAACTTCCGGTAGACACGCGTCTACCCGATCATCGAGGTTTTCCACGCTCTCCAACAGCTCCAGTAAGGACCCGTGCAGCCGATCCTGCGTGGCCTCCTGACGAGTGGCATTAAATGCCAACGCTTCTTTGGTGGCGTTAAGATCGGCCTCGAGCCGTGACAGTCGATTTTCCCGTTCCACAGCCGCGCTCTCTCTGTACAATACACCCTTCATGCGCTTTTCTAGACGGGCCATCCGGTGAGCGAGGTACTTGCGCGATGACTCTAGCTGTTCCAGCTCCTGTGCTTCTTGATCCGTCACCACTGTGGTGATAACGTTTGTCCTCAGACGCTTGTCATTATTGTTGTTTTCGTTAACTTCAAACGCCACTTGCTGCATTCGAAAAAAAACAAACACCGGTATTATACACATGTATATATTTCATTGCATAATACATGCAGGTGAAAATAGAAGACTGCAGTGTTTGTGTATCGAGTAAGTTTGTAAATATTATTACATTATAAAAAAAAACACCCTGATTAATTCTATTAAAAAGTGATTTGTTGTATTTAAAATACCTACTATAGTAATTAATAATTATGTTTTTAACTACGATGTATAATTTTAAATAGTTAGAGAAGTAAGAGAAGTAAATATGTATTGATATATGTACTATTTTTATTCAATCGTGAATATTAATAATAACGTCTATACTATAAATACCTTTAAAATTTTTAGTCAACGTTATAGCGTTAAAACCTAGATAAATATAAAATGTAAAGAATTATTTTAGTAAAAATTAACGCAACCAAAACGAGTAAATTTCTTTATGTTACTACCCAACACTACATGTGTATAATAATAGGAACGAGAAATACATTGTTTTTGTTTTAGGTTTATATATATACGAGTATATGTGTGTATAAATGTAATATGTAAGCAATGTAAGTATACAAACACTCACTTTATAAATGTTGTTGTATGCTGTTTGTACGTCGTTTTCATTGTTTTTCTGGAAAACGTATACAATAATAATTATAAACGTGACTCTATATATGTTATGTTTTATTACCGCGTTCGCTTTTGTTATAGGTATACTCGTATAATATTATAATAGACAGGTATACGATTAGGCAGCATTATATGCGTTCGTTTTGATCCTTACCATTAAATAAAAAATCACCGAAAACGCCATTTGGTCAATGCGCGAGTAGATACTCTTTTTGGTGGCAGACGTACACCTACGTTAGCCATATGGTTTGATAATAATTATTACTATCTCTAAGGTACAATTGATCCCTCTTTTTTTTGTTTGTTAAATTTTGTTGTTAAATATATTTTGATATAACTTTGAAATTTCCATTGCTATATGCGTTTAAAGTGTAAGTGTTTTATTTTTTTATTAAATTGTAAAGAGCACGAATATATGATATACGTACATACATAGCATATTACAGGGATTATAATAGGCAATAGCGTTAATAATATTATTTACGCATTGCAAACAGCTGAATAGGTAATTTAATTCAATATGATTTTGTATTATAACTATCTAAAATCTTTAAATATTCCTAAAAAGCGAAATTACTTTTCTTACATTAATTTTACACTAGCGATTTGAATATATATTTTCTTTTATTCATTTATTATATTTACCTAAGTGGCTACGCAAACGAAATCAACGCATTTCTACTTGAATGTTCTCTAATAATATTTATAAATTTAAGAAATAATTACTAATTTTACTCACTTTATCAACTGCGATTTTATGTTTAGCCATGGTGTTAATCTTTTTCTCTAATTCGGAATGTTTAATTGATATTTCTTCGACATTCTTCTTAACTGACAGTAATTCTCCTTGCATTGTTTGTAAATCTTTTCGGTCAGAATCCAAGTCATTTCTTAATGCTTGCAGATCGTTTTGTATGGCTACAGTCTTGTGAATCTGTGCCGTTTCATTGATGGCCGACCACACTGCTTGCATTTCTGATCTCAAACCACCGATTACTTCCTTTAGCCATCCTACGGCTACTTTATCGCGGATCCCATCGTTACCAGAATGGGCCATCCTAAAATGTTCATCCCTAATACAAAGACAATCAAACATATTACCTATGATATTTTAAAATTAAAATAATTCAATTTTAACCTGAAATTATTTATTATATTAAGTTATAATAGCCATAATATGATCCATTTTCCGTATGGAAATTTAGGTATAATATTAAAATAAGTAGTCGTGTTACCGAATTGTTAAAATTGCTTTTCTTAACGTAATGGTCGTAATTATAGTTTATACTGCGAAAAGCCTATGAATATATTAAATTACTTTTAATTATTGAGAATAATAATATTATGTATTTATTTTTACTGAGCATAACCCCAAAACGAGCGTTAACTTTGTGTAACTTGTTTAACAATTAAAAATAAACACGCCAATGTGTGAACATCCGCATACGATATATAATTTTACTCCTTATTTCATCTTTCATTCTATGTAAATATTCAAAATGTTATGTTAACCATACGTAAAAAAACAATAATTTAAATATATAACTCTCATATTTAACAAGAAATGTTGTTACTTGTAAACAATACAGTAATTAATATATTTTGATAACTTGACATCTAGTTAAAAAATGATATATTTTAAACAATTACAACGTAAACTAAATATTTTTCAAGTAATAATAAATACCTACCTATTTATTATTTTGTCTTCGTATATTATGATTCCTAGACTTATACTGGCTTAAAGTAACTCAACAAAGATATTAATAAATAATAAAGGTAGTATATTCATTTAAATATATTACTTTGTTTAAATTTGCTAAAATATGACGTTAAAAACGTTAAATTACTAATTATCTATATTTATCATGTATGTATGCGTAATAATGTTGAAATTGATTATTAAGTGTTCATACGCACATTATTATGGTCAATAAATAATTACTTAGCAGTTCTGTAAATTATTGGTAGACAATTTAGTGATATCATAACATAAGAAATGAAAATTTTAATCTTAACACAATATAAATTTGAATCTCATAATAATCAAACAACACTCAAAAAATAGATGGACAAGGTTAGTTAGATATTCGAAAGCATTTGCATAACAGTAATGCATACATATAGGTGGATACGTGATGATTAAATGTTATTTAATTAATAAATCACTATGATTAGTAAATTTGGTTGATACTTGATGAATATATATAACATATATATGTACGAGTATACAAAACTATATTTAAAAAATAATTTAAAACATGCCTTACAAATTCAATTATATTCTAATTTCTGGTATTCAATTTTATTTGAACCTCTTTATAATACTAATAAGTAGAAACTAATGCAATATAATACATTATATATATTATATGCAATTAAAATATTTGTAATATCTGGAATTGAGAATACGAATTTAGACTTTATAAAATAGTTGAATAATGCAGCATAATTTTTGGAATCTTAAGCTATCGGTAAGAATATGTAATATCATTTGAAATAAATACGTATATAATATTGTGATATTTTATTTTCATGTGAAACTTATTATATCATTATATTTTTTCAATTTTTTAACTCTGCTATATCTATAACAGTGAGATATGCCATATGTGTAATATCTTAATTTTCAAAACTAACACTATATGACACATTGTAAATAACTCGTTGCGTTTGCCAGTTAGTTGTTTCTAAAAATACTGTTACTCCAGGCACGTGGAATTGTGTAACGATTTTAACGTTTTAGTTTCACATTTAATCCACACTATTATTTTGTTCTCTATAACTCGTATTTTACCAGGACTGTCTTCAAGATCACTGCACTTTGTGTTTTGAAGTTAATACAGGTAGGTAATAAGTATTTTTATTACTTTTTACGATGTTTTAATTTTTATTTGAATTTATAGTCAACATATTAATTATAAAATTTAAACGATTAAAAGTATTTGAAAGTTAATCTGTTATGGTTTGTTATGTTATATGATAATTTTATTTTATCATTACTTCTGTTCAATCAAAAAAACAGAAATTGAATTAATTTTTATTAAATTGTTGATACTAATTAGGATCAAAACACTCGAGTTTTCGTAATAAATACAGGTATATATATATATTATTTTTTTTCTAAGTAAGTTCTTAGAATAAAAAATTTCGTTAATTATTTGATTAAATGTATATTTATATGGTTATTCAATATACTAGTTAAGATACAATATTAAAATAAACAAGCAAAAATAAAAATTATACAGGATTCATACGTTTATAATTTTTATAAATATATGTGATTATAAGTACTACATTATTTAAAAATAAACTTTAATGCCTGATTACATAAGCAATTACTATTAACATTTAATGAATCAATAGAAATGTAATGATTCCTTAAACATATCTTAGCGGCTCATGATTGGCCCATTAAATTTTAGTGAACTGTTAAATTTATTCATTTTTGATGCAACCTAATTAAAATACTGATATAAATACTTAGTAGGCACTATTATATACTACTGTATATAATTATTAATTATACATATATATTTTTTTTTATGTATGAATTATTATATTTTTAAATAGTTAAATAAATAGTGTATATAATTTTAATAATCGTATTCTGTAACTCTTAATCATAATTAGGGATGGGATTTATATGCAAATGGAAAATGCATAATATGTATTGGAATGAGATTTTTAAAATCTGATGAGAATTGTCCTCGATTTAAATCATTCTTATTAAAATAACATTAATTTTACTTTACATAATTATTTACTTATTTTAACGGTTTTACCAATTAAATGCATATTTAGTGCATATTATTATTTATAGTACATATATTTGTTTTTTGTCTTATTTTCACGTTCACAGCCACATAATAACAATAAATTTACGACTGATCGTTATTGCCAAAGATAAAATGACATATTCATATTCAACATATATAATATTAATATGGATAAATTTTTGTTTTAATTTTTTATTAATGTGGGCTAATATTTTATAGATTGAAGATAAAGAATGTTAAATGGCGAAGATGACGAAATACATTTTTATATCTTCAAAACATTTTTATACCTTTTTTAATATTTGGTTAATTAATACTTATTTTTTTACATAATTTTAGATAAATATTTTTTCAATTGAATCATTAGTGCACATTTAATAATAAATGCATATTTTATAGCATTTTACAGTATTTTTAGTAGCATATTTTTAGGATTTTTTATGCATTTAAATCCGGTCCTCAATCATAATATATGTATGTATGTCTTTTTAATAATATATTATTATGGAAAATGTTATCTAATAATCTATAGTTATGAATTATATTGATAAATTTTATTATAAGCTCGGCTCATTGATTACAATTAATTTATCTAAATAAATTTTTTGAGATTTAAAACTTGTTGTAATCTTGTTTTACTTAATAATTTATAATTGAATTGAAAAAGTAATTTTTAGTGGTTGAAGACAAAAGAATATTTACGATATTAGTATTAGTAGACTAATGTATAATATGTATTAATGTGTTGATAAATTTTAAAATTGCACCCCTCAAATAGACGTCTATCAAAAAAATAGTTGGTGTATATGTATATTATTTCGATTAACTATAGATATTAGAGAATTAATCGCTAATATTTTAAAAACATAATATTATATTCACCTGATTAATTGAATTTCTTCTTTCAACGCATCGAGGTCTGTGCTTCCTTTTAGAGATTCGTAGAGTGATTTTTCCAACTGCTGGTAATCCTGTTGTCTTTTTTCCATCAGCAAGTTCAGTTGGTTTTTTATCGTCCTCAATTCGTCTGTATCAAGAGCTGTCTGAGCCCCAACGATGTTCGTGAACATGCACATAGCAACAGTTATTATCAGGAACAGAAACATGATTGTAGTCTTGCTTGAACACTTCGTTTCAAACTGAACACGGTTAACTAATCCGTCCAGACTTGTCCCTGTACCCCGGCCAGGAGCAGATGGTGCATGGCTCGTGTTCAGTTTGCGCATGCGTACATTGAATCCGGTTTTTTCACTTTAACGTGTTCTTACCTCTTATATTATATACTGAAATATAACATTGCAGAAACGCAAGTGTGGTAAAAACGAAATTTATGCTAGGAAAAAAATCAAAAGGATTGTTATTAAAGTGGTTATTTATTCGGACACTCTATTATATCAACGTTTAATCGATAAAAAAATCCAGTTATGCAGGTGTTCAACGAGCTTAGGCACGTGGATCAGTCGATTCTCTGAATTAAATATGTACCGGACTTGCTCGCTAATTATTTATCATCGGATATTGCAGGAGTTAAGCGCACTCTTAAACATATTGCTAATGCACGTCATGTTTGAATTATTTAATTTTTATAGTAAGGTACTTATTTTATAATTCAATATAATAAAGTGAAACTATAAAATGCATTATGTATATAGACTTCATTGATGAGTTCGGTACCTAGCTAATTACATATTTTATTTCCGTAGGTAAGTATAGATAGATCTTTGTTTTCCATTGAAATACAACTTTTTGAAGTGTAAGTATTGTTTCAATACTGTATTTTAAAAACTCTCTTAATCACAATTATTGATCTCTTATCGATAAAGATGACGATAAAGTAAACTGTTAAATGCAATGTATACACATCGTATTGTTTAATTCAATTTATTAGACACTTTAAGCTCAATGACCAACGCATTATTATAAAATAAATGTTTTATTTATAAAAACATAATATAGACATTATAGCTTAATTGATATTGTTCGTATTCCTGCATTTATCTTTGTACACAATAATAACATCATTAAATTTTAATTTATGCTGACCAATCGCAAACACTAATAATTAAACAAATTTTAATATTAACTTACTAATTTTTCCCCATTAATAATTATTTTGTATATTTTGAGCATTAAGTCTTAAAAATTTTAAAATTTTAAAAAATCCTGTGTAATTTTAATTTTTAAAATAATAAAAACTCCAAAAACACGATTATTATTAAATATATTTTGTTTAATTTGATTATATGTTTATAACATAGTTAATACTCGTATTTTTATTTATTTGGTGTCTAAATGACACTTAAATACTTGATGCATTTTTATATATTATATTGGTATTAAAATCTAAATTTTTAATAACTAAAATAAGTACGTCAAATATGTAGGTATTATTCAATTTTTAAGTTGATATAGGTATTTATTTTTTTAAATAAAATTGTTAAGGTACCTATCCTAAAAAACTTAAATTTTATTTCTATATGTTCGGAATTACCCGATTACAATATCTAATAATATATAAATAACACATATATTTTTTAATCTATAAATGTTTAACTTCAGTACAGTATGTTAATTTTTAATAAAATAATGTGCCGATCATTATATATTAAATTGTTTCATTAATTTTTTTTTTTTTTTTAATTAAAAATTATTATAATTAATGTTTTTGTTTTTTTCTCTGAGTTGAAAAATTAATGTGGTTAAGTGTGATTTCACACGCCCTAGTTAAAAATAACACAATTAAGCCTTATAATTATTATTTTATGAGTCATTATAAAATATGACTAAAATGAACAGTTTTTTCATTGAACATTATACTGAACTAAAGAGTTACTAATAATTGTTTATACTACGTTAACATTAATAATAATCGGTTGATAAAATAATGTCTTTAAAAAATATTTAGAAATTAAACATAAAGTAGGTAGGTAGGTATAATGTGACAAATGACGTCTACGTATTATTTTATTTTTAGAAATACTCAACCTATATACATACTTTTATATGTTTTATATATAATTTACTATTTAGGTAGTATAGTAGCTAGTTTACATGGTTTTTAATTACAATTTAAATTTTATATGATTAAAGGTATCTGCGCCAATTTATTCATTTTAGGCGTCGAGATTCAGGACTGATGAAGGTTATTAGATTCGATAAGTCCATAATCAGGAGACGATTTTTGAATCGTTATATTGTGATTTAGCTACTTCGTTTATGGTAAGATCATGAGGAGGAGTTGAGGAAGTATCTTTATGCGGAGAGTTCCCACAAACACATCGTTATATAATATAAGGTACTTGATCTATATTAAAACACACTTAGGCGTTTGATTTTATTTTTTTATAATACAGATATTATTATTATTTTTAAGAATATTATACCTACTTTTTATTTTGATTTAATGAATTAATATTAGATAATAATTAGTAGTTATGGTTGTAGATTTAAATAAAACTTATGTTATTAAAATAAATAGGTGAAATATGAGATTATCCATGTAAACGAAATGTCCCGTGTTTAAGTTTGAACGATGAACATCGTTTACCGTTTTCTCATGACTTGATGCGCCTTGCATAATAATAAATAACTAAATAATAATCCCTGTTAAATAATTAAATTATAAATTATAATTTTATAAATTTGATCGACGTATATTTGAATATTTTTTACATTGTTATGGCACACATTTTGAAATATTGTGATATACCGCTGTTATATATATATGATATCTGTTTACAAAATATTTGTTTCATTTTTCGATTTTTTTTTTTAAACCATTACTTCGAATTATATTTTGCTTAAGTCACGTTAATTTTTTTTTTAAACGTATAAAAATGTATGATACATTTGTCTATTATTTATGACCGAAGATGCATGTAAAACGATTATTCCAGGATGTGCATACCATGTTATTTGTCTCATGACCTCATAATATAGTTAAATGTATTGATACGTAATAATATTCCAAGTATGAGGATAGATAGACGACACTACGCTTTATATCTAGCTTATTTATTTTAAATTTAATTCTATGAAATGTGTACGTGTTATTATAATAATTGAACGAAAGTCGATACAAAGAAAATTGTTACTATTATTTATTTAAAAAATATTATCTGTATAAATATATTAATATTATTTTATATGGTACCAACAGATTGCTAATATATATATATGTGTGTGTGTGTGACCATACGGGTAGTCATAATAAAAAAAAGTTCATTATTATGTCAAATTGTGTCAAAAATTTGACTAAAATGTACATTGTAAAATCATGTGGTCTTCTCAAATTTCTAAACGAGTCTTAAATTAACTATTAAAAAGCGATTGCAAGCTGCTGATATTTTTAAAATTATAGGTAAACGCGATATGCAGCTGCTTGGCTCGTGCCAGATGCAACTCACAGCTGGGACATCCCGAAAACGAAAACAACTGTCCTCTTGGTGCTTATGTAGATAAAACACACCTGCTTACCACTCACAAGGGACTATATCATAGACTCTATGTATCCAGGCATTTGCCCTAAAACGCAAAGCTTACTATTTTATTCATACTAACTTGTTTCGTATACATAAAATAAAAAAATAACACTTAATTTATTTTGATCCAAACAATTTTCATAAATAGCTATCATATATTTATTTAAAAAACCAAAACAGGAACATTTTACACAACAATAAAATACAACGTATTAAAAAATTACAAAAATTTAAAAATAAATAAATAATTATTATACTATGAATAAATTATAATCTATTGAGCTAAATATCGACGTATTCCGAACGAAAAAAACGAATTTAAAAATTAATATGAATACATTTCGGTCTAAAAATAAAACGCAGGCAACAATAAGACCTACATTTTGTCATTAAGTTAGTAAGTATAGGTACTAAATATATTTATAGTTTATACTCAATGATATTATTATGTTTTAAAAAATGAATTCGAATTAACTCTCGGTGTGATTTAATCGTTTTGAATACCGTATGCGTAAGTCTTCTATGAACTCGTTCTTAAGAATCTTCAAACATCTAAAGTGCCGGTAATAAATAAATAAGAAAAAATATGAATTCAGTTTTTATTGTACTCTTAACACAACTATGTACTATGATTTAGATTAAAACAAACCTTCTGTACTGAGAAGATCCACGAAATTTGGCAATATCGAAACTCGGCGCGTGAGGCATATGAATTATAAACGCATTTGGAAGTACAATAAAAGTGTATCCTCGAGCTTCAAGTTCCATGATATGTGATACTTTATTCCAACCGAAACCGACAAATCTAGTATCATATTTTGGAACATCGCTACGTACCACTACATAAGGTTCATAATCTGGTTCCCATGATACCTATACAAAGTATTAATTAAAACTTATGTAGTATAAATATAAAACCGTATGGTTTGAAACAAAAAAATGTATATTTTTAAGTTTTTCTTTTCTTTTTCTTTTTTAATTTTAAATATTTTTTATTGCACAATTTTTTTTTTTAAGCGTCGAACAACAAGTGAATTTAATGTTTAGAAAATAGAAAAATGAATAAAAGACATTATTTACAAAATGAATAATCCCTCCCAGAAGAGAAATTTTGAATATTTATAGGCAAATTTTTATTTGTAAAAATAATTTTTAATGCTAAACAGACGTTATACAATTATTTTTACTTTATACGGAACAGTAGATCCTTTCCACTTGGCATAATTTGTCGCCGCATGCCCTTTTGGCCACACATGATACCTAAATGAAAATAAAGCTCCATCGTCCAACATTCTCAATATATCTGCTTTAGTTTGTGGAAATGCAGTTCGATATCTTTGAGTTTCAAAAGCAGGTACGACTAAAGCCTATGATATATATATACATATAAAATAAAATTATTTTAATCAATTACTTATACACAAATAATGAATAATTAGATAATTATATTGCACAATGGAATTACTTTATCGGAAGACTTAATGTTCATTATAAAAATGTATTTTTTTAAATATGAGTACAGGCCACTCATTGGTAAGAAATCAATGTCAGATAAGAATACATATGGTGTTACAACATTTTCCAATGCAACATTCCGCAATAAATTTATAGGATAAAAGTCCTATAATAAATGTTCATCAATAAATTTTGATTAGATTTTAAGTATGAGTTTAAAATAATTTTAGATAGAAATGTTACCCCTTCTTTATAAACTACGTGGTATCCAATATTTTTACGATTCCTAAGCACTTCCGAATTTTGTGCGTAGCTCAAAAACTGTTGAGCTTCGGCATCAGACATATAAAGGCTTAAACTTATTGGACCTAGAGAAAAAAAATACAAATTTAACTTTTATGTATTTATACATACATAGTAAAATCATAACAAATATAATATTACCATCCCAATACTCGCATAACATTTCAACCATTTGAAGTCTATCCATTGATAGCTGAGCAACAAGTGTTATGTCGCATTCATCTGGCGATGTCTGGTATTCAAAATCCAAGAAATATAAATGAGTCCTTAGACTAGCCATACCTGCTCTTCTGAACTCGTAACAGAGATCATCTTCGCTGATCTAAATAAAAATGTAGGTATAATTATCAATTTTATAAAATTCTATAAAATGGTACCCACTGCAAGTATAGATAGCCAAAATTCAACTATAAAATCATTTATTTTATATATTCACATTAAATCAACTGATAATAATCCATAATAATTTTATAATATTATAAAACGATAGATTTAAACTTATAATTTAAATGCAGTTTTACAACATAAAACCCATCATTTATACATATATATATCATATGTGTATGATGTGTATTATATATTATGAAATAATAAAATGATTACGCCGTAAATTGCAATGTTATTTAAAATTAATTAGTGCAATTATCTGGACAGTTGAGTATGCAACTATCAAATTTTGGTAACATAGAAATATACGTAACATATCATATCTATTCTGAACCATGATTATGAATTCAACAAATATAGTTATTACTTATTAGTTTGTATCATAATAATGTATTATATTATAAATTCGTCATTTATTTCATACTTTTATTATTTTCTAATTAGTCTACTTATAATCTACATATTTTTTATACACATAAAATTTTGATATTTCGAAAGAATTAACTTACTTCTAGTACATCTTGAGTAGTGGATGAATAATTACAACCAAAAAGTTCTCTTTGAAGTAAATTTCCATCGTACTCTAAGAATGTAAGATATAAATTTCGAAAAAATTCAACATGTTTGTTTTTTACTTTAAGTTTTTTCGGCGAATTCCAATGAATTATCTGAAATGTAAAGATATTTATTTAAAAGTATTTACATAACATGTATTACGATAACCAACTGTTTTGTTTTAATATATTTATTTTTTTTTAATTTAGTACAACCATAACTGCTTTGAGCCATAAATAGCATTATGCAATTAAATAAGATGTACCACGTATCTATTCACTACATAGTTATATAGTGCATAGTTACATAAATATAAATATAAAATAAAATATCCACTAAAGGATTGACAGACTTATAAAACTGGGGACCAAGGTTCCATGGCGCCATGTGTTATTTTTATACCTATATAATATGTTCTTATAAATATTATTATTTATAAACAAACAGACAACTACTGAGATGATTCAAATACAATGTCTAAAATCTTAAACTAACTACTATAAAATATTAAGAAGAAAAGATATATTTATATAATTACAATTAATAATTTAATCAAGAAAAAAATCTAGAAACGTTTTTAATTAGATGGTATCATTGTTGTCTTAAAAATAGTTTGATTGGTGATTGGATGACAATAAATATTCAATAGATACAAGCTAAAAAAAAAATGTTAATTTTGTTTTTGCTTACTCTATATAATATATGCATTACACATTTTACATTGATAAAATTAATCCGGCAACAAAATACTAACCTTTAATTCGATAACTTCGGCGTAACAAAGTTCACTCCTAGTGTTGTCACTGAGTTGGACATTCCATTGGCATGGCATGGGATATAGGAGTTCCGGCCGTTCTTTAATAATTGTGTTAAAAATGTCTTGATCGGCCAGACTGGTCCAGTAATGTGTCACCAAAGTTTTTACTGCCACAGATCTCCATAATCCGTTCCAGCCAATTAAACGTAATTTCTGTAAGTCCATCAGTATCACACCCGTGTTGTAACTATAAACGAACAAATATACGTGTTATTTTACATATTATTATTTAATATGATTAATATTTCGGTTTTATTTTTCACATTTAATAGCTTACCCTCGTCCAAGCGCAGGCCATGGCTTATGTTTTTTCCACAATTTTCCGAGATACCAATCGCTTTGATTTTCTACTAATCCTAACGCCTAAAAAAAATAAGTTTATATGTAATTAACCGTATATTTTACAAAGATTTTATTTTTTAATATTTTTCTTGCCATTATAGTTCATTCTATACATATAATCAAATAATTAATTAGGTATTTACTTGTTCTTTTTTAAAGCGTTTTAACATGGACCACAACTGAGCTATATCTGTAGCGAAAGTTATATCTGTATCTAAAACTAGAACCTGTTTCAACGTATCTGGAAATACTTGAGTTAAACATAATTTCATCAAACCATAAACTCCAGAATAATGTTTATTGTTTATCCAAGAGACATCGGCTATAATTTTTTCAGCTGGATAAAACTCTATTTCCACTAAAAAAAAAATCACATTTTGTTAGATTTTAATAAATATTTAATTAATATTTTTCTTAATACTCAATATTTACATTGAGGTATTTTCCAAGTATCGAACAAAGTTTTTAAAATTTTTTTTGATATAACATCTACGACAAAATGAAATCTCAGTGGGTTTTTACGATAAAATAATATTGATTTTATAAGTGTTACTACTGAACGAGTAGAATTATAACCAGCACACACGATTCCGACTTCAATAACTTCGCATTTATCTACCGTGTCTGTAATCTAAAATACGTTTTAAAAAATTACAATAAGTTACTAAACTTTTAATAAACAATTATCGTAAATTAAATTAACATCATAAGTTTATATATATACTTATTTCTTATTACATACCTTTTGAGAAGAGCATGGCGCAGGAGTCTCTGGTAATAACTGTGGTGAATCAGTTGGGGAAACGGGAAACAGTGACGTCTTCATTGCAGCTAATAAATGATTTTGTGTCATACTAAGCTGCCTTCTTAATAATCTCAACTCTTTTTCCATGGCTTCTGACGTTGATTCATGTTTTTGAACATCGTAATTACTACTTTCCACGTACGTTGAGATTGGAACTAAAAATATATGTAAGTTTTAATAATGATAATAGTAATAATAATTAAGCCTTTGATTCCATTTATATACCTCGTTGATTTAAAACAACATAGTAAATGATTAACGATGCGAATAACGATCCCAGCAAAAAACTAGTCAGCCAGTGTCTAACCAGGGTGGTACCAAAAGCACACAAACCATTGCGTCCTCTTCGTCGAGCTATGATAGCCACAATAGAAAATTATTTTAAATTTCCTTTTACATAAATTAATTTATGTTGCTGTAATAAATCTGTAAATTTTTTCAAATTATCAATTAATTTTGTGGTAAAATAAAAAAATTTTCATTATCAGTAAATCACAAACATATTTATATTATATAACTTGATTTCATTAAGAACTATATAATATAAACAATCATTATCTCAAAAAGTAAAAGAAAACATATTTTAGCTTATTTTAAATTATTTTAAAATTCTATTTTTTTTCACATCCTAAATATTCAATTTTCTCACTAATTTTACATTAAGAATATATACTATAAATAAATATAAGTACTTGACATGAATTACTTGATAAATTGAGAAAGGGAGTAGCCCAGCGATTATACTTTAATATCTGATTTAATTTGTTGTGTTAAATAAACAATGAGAAGTTATATAGATATCACATGCAACTTACAAGTATTAATAAAGTCATCGCATACGATGAATTCCCGTTTCTGGACATTAAGCGTCACATACTATCTTGGAGATGTAGGTACATGGGTAAACATTTAAACAGTTCCACTCCTCAATATTATAATTAAATTACATTGCGAGGATTAAATATTGACCATATGGCATAAAGGTATAATTTTTTTTTAATTAAGAGTTAAATTTATGATACAATTTTTTTGTAAGTTTCTTTTGGAGATTACCAGGTTACCTATATTGAGTTTGATTCAAGTGTTGATATTAGAGAAAATTATATTTAAAAAAATAAATATATATATATATAATTTTACAGTTATCATTTTTGAAATTTTTTAAAAACAATACATTTTTAGTTTCATATTCAAAGTACAATATTTTTTGAGAATTACTTTATGTAAAAATTAAATTTCAAACGAGTAAGACAGTTATTATAAGCACCTAGATATATTTTAAGTTTTAATAATCGTATAGTCTTATAATTTAGAGAGCTAAAATATCTTGCAAAATGTTGATCTTCAATCTTCTAATTTAAATTTTAAATATTTATTACTTATAAGTTATAAATAATTAAGTATTCGTTTTAAAAACAATTTTTATAAATAAAAATTCTCAAATAAATATTCTACTCAGAAATGTAAAATTTAGAAGATTATATTATGCTGTTATTCAAAAAATTATAACAATAAAATGTAGTAAAATAATATATTTTTTTCATAAATATTGTGTACCTAATGACTTATTGTTTGAAAAAATATTTTCAGAAACTTTCTTTTTCAGAATTATGAATGTTTGGGCCATTTGGGGATAATGTTATACTGAGATTAGTGAGAGAAATAAAACTACTCTACCATAATTTATGTCGCCGTTTATAATAATTTGTAATTAAATTAAAATCCTTATAATACAATCTTCTACGTATAATAATATAAATAATAAAATTTATATTTTTAGGCATATATGACACAAATTGAAATACTATTTTTTTAACAACCTACCTTAAATCGGAGTATAGATATACTCGTATAAATGTATAATTTAAATATTTATTTATAAGATAATAATAAATTTAAAAAGTATTTTTATAACCTACAGTTTTATACAATATTTTTGTTTTGTTGAAAACTCTGTTTGATAAAATACCTATGTTTTTAAAAACGAAGAGGAACGATCATTTTGAATTAATGTAGCCCCCACTCCCCCTCAATGACCATTCAAAAAAAATTGCTTCTCTAGATAAAAAAAAGCTAGACCCTCATTGCCACTGTAAACATTTACTTAAGAATAATCACCCTATATAATTATTGCTAGTAATACTATATACTATACCTAGAAGTTTAGGTATAGACTTTATTATTCGTATTTATGAACATTTGAGACCTAACTTATTCTAACTTAATTTGTAATGTTGCTCATGATAGTAGTGTACAATTATTTTATATTTACGGTTATCTTATGTTTTAAAATACATGATAAAATATATACATTTTATTTAAGGAATAAAAATTATAAAATAAAATATATCATTTGATAAGTGTAATTTAGAAAATATGGGGACATCTACAAGGAATACATGAATATGATGCGTTAAGTATTATACTTTATTGTTTATATTTAATTGGTTTTGATACCTACATAAATTATATCTGTATTAGACATTAGTACATTATTCACTGAGTATTATAAATTTATACATATGAATCTTTTACAAAATTTTTATTTAAAAGTATACAAAGCGTATTTAGTTGCACTATTTTTATTATACTAAAACATGTAATTCTGTATACTACAAATATTTAAAAATCAATACAAATTGTTACTTCTTTAGTTCCAACATAAATTATAATATGATGACTAAGTAAAAGTTTAAAATAACACGCAACGAATGAATCATAATGTAAATAAAATATCTTCTCTATTATAGGACATAGGTACACTCATTATTAAAGTAGGTAGTATAAAAAAATAACAAAAAAGTCGACTGTATATTATAATTTTATAATTTATAATCAATGCATATTCACAAATGATTTACCAAAAATATTTAGGTAATATAAACCTAATCATAATGGAAATATTATGTTTTTTTTTTCTTTATAAAATACAATTTTTGTTGTTTATTATTTTATTTTATAATATAGCTCGTGCCTCGTACAGCCTTTAAAATGATATAAATATAATTCAGTTTACAATTTTTGATTAATAATAGCCACTAATAATGTTGGTATTATTTAAATTTTAAAAAGTACAACCAAAAATAGTGATATATTTTAATAATACTTACAGTATTATATATATATATATATATATATATTCGTATTATATTATTTTACCTATAGTACTTTAATATGTTGGAACTAGGTACTAGGCACTTGGTGGGATATTATAAACTAAACAAGTGGATGCCATGGTATCCCCCTCCCCAAAGTACTCTAAGTTGTTAAAAGTACTGTATATTATATTATTTATATTGTATAATATACAATACTACAACAGAGGCCCCAGCTAATATGAATCAAGTGAGATAAGTGTTCAAGCATTACTTAACAAGCCGTAATTGTATCCTATCCCGCTTTACCTTTTTTTTTTTTTTACAAAATGTTTTAAATTAACAAAAACAGAAAAAATTCAATAGTTCATGACATTGAGTTGTAAATAATAATTATTTTGGTGTGAATCAATTATAATTCATCTAAATATTAATGAGTTGATACCTATTTACATTTTATATTTTTAAACACAATGTATTTTAAAATATTTAGGTACTATAATGTATTGGTACCTAGGTATCTATAGTTTCTTAATATAACTATGGCAACACTGGGTATTAAAAAAGCCGCTAAATTGTGTAGGTATAGTAGGTACTGTGGGATACAAGAAGAGTTTGATACCTAAATTTACATTTTAGGCTCAAAAAAATAATATAAATAAATAAATAAAACTTTAAAAAACGGTGAGTTATGATAAAAACTAAATTTTTGATTTAAAAATCTATATTATATCGTGTAATTTATATTAATCATTCTGATTCGTCAGCCCTAAATATGACATGTGTGAATTATAAAAGAACTGAATAGCGTAGTAATATTTACACTGATTACCAAGTAATCTGCATAGGTACATATTATGACGAATACCTAGCTACTAAACGCATGCAAATAATAAATATTGATAATTTCCTCAAACACGGACATGAAAAAAAAAATCGATAGCTATTAATGCATTTGTATTTATATAATGTACTCATTACTCACCGCTCATACGCAGTTTGTTGATCGCGAATTATATTATCACGCACTTCAAACATTTGCGGACATCCTGCAGAGCTTTTACGTGCGACTACACTGCTTGTAATCGATATCGTGACGTAAAATACTATAATAATGTCTAAAACCTTCCTATTCCCGCATAATAATATATTAACATATTAAATATACATATATAGGTAATTTATTATTGATCAGTTTCCGGTGGTACACGCGTTATTATTACTGTTGTTAAAATACAACCGATGTACGACGGCGTTGACGATCGTATATACCTAATATTACGATATGATGCGATATAGGTACCTATTGTGTGTAGCCGTAGGTACCTATATAATACACGAACTGGATTCGAATCGGAATGAAAATATTCGATATGTCACGCGTTTATTCGAATCGAGACCTCGGTCGGACAAAACTGAACGGGTAGTGCAGGAAATTCTATGGAATATCGTACGCTGCGGCGGTTGACAGTCATGCCCACTGCGGCGGAGCGTGCCCGTTAGCCGCGCGGTCAACACACCTGTTCGTAAAATCGATAATAACCGACGGACGAGACGGGTGTTTTGGAGTTTTTTTCGCAAAAGCTCGCGGTTTCCGCCGCGACACGGCCGTCGGCCCAAAAACGGTGGCGAACGCACCGGGGCAGATGCGATTTTTTTGACGAAAATCGCACAGCATTGGACGCGCCGCCCACGATTTCTGGTTGAAGGGGACGGACGCCGCCGAGTGCCGACGAGATTTGTCGGTCGGCCGGTCGATATATGTATAGTGTGTATGCACTATGCGCGCAGTATGTATACGCGTATGTAATAATATGATATTGTTATTTGTCGGTCGAGTGCTGCCATCTAGTGCGCGACTACGGCGAAATCAGATTTAGGCACCCGACTGTCACGAATGAGCGAATGACATTTACGATATTTACGACTCTATAATTATACATCATTATTGCGAATAATACTTGAATTTTATCGTTGCCGACAACGCGGCACCGTAATAATAATAATTGTCGTGAAACGTAAATTCGTCTACGTACGGCGTACCCATATTCACATACAGTACCTACCCATTTATATTTATACGTACATATTAATATATTGTATTGTAATGTCATATATTTATATTACGTATTGTTGTGTTGTTGTGTAGGTTCAAACGTGCACTGTTTTTGTGAGTACCGCCTACATGATTTAACACTAAATACGAGATTTATTACCGTTTACCCGTTACGATTTAAATTCTGTGTTTGACGTTTTGTTTTTCACTTATTAATTTGAAGAACAAAGTACTAATATGCGTCCAGTAAACACCGATTTCCAATACAACACTTCTTAAATATAAACACATCCAACATAGGTACTACGTAGGTATTAGTTAAATGAATGAACATAAACTTAATCATAAAAGTCATAAAACATGACTAAATATAAGTCTGTATAATATGGTCTATCACTTATTGGACTACCATTTAAGGTCCTTAATTAGATCTAAACGAGACAATCAAATACATTTTACGTGTATAAGACTGATATATTAACATAGACTTACTTACAGTTCAAAATGCATTTGTATAGAGACGACCTTCAAAATGGAAAATAATGTATAACAAACGTTTTGTCGTGGATTCAAATAATAATATGTTGTGATGATAATTTTATTAATGTAGAATAAATATTAAAATCGTATATACATTTACATTATCTATTACCTTTATGGTTTTATAAATATTAGTATATTTATAATGCACATTTGTATTAACATTTAACATTAATATACTCATTAGAATATATATAAAAGTCTTCTTAATTCTTAGATATTCGCAAAAGATAATTAATCAAGCCAATCAAGGAATATATAAATAAAATTATAAAACACATATTATTGCTATTCATTACAGTTATAAAGACGGTAATAATAATTTGTATTTCTATAAAAAAAAAAATGGAATGTATTATTAGTTTATCACTGAACGTATAAAAAAATAAGGCCGGCTGAGTTCACTCAAGAAAATGTAACAAATTAAATATATGTTATTAATAAGTATTTATTTTTTTATATATATATTTTTAAAAGTCCATAAAAAATAATATTAAAGCACTTTATCATCAACCCTCAGATGGCCAGACCCCATCATCAAAGAAAACATTTCAAAACACGCCAGTACGCCACTAATGTTACATAACATAATATTGTAGGTTTATGCATATTAATATATTAAACATTTTTTTTTTTTTTTTTAGTTTTATCTATATACACTTACGTATAACCATTAACCATATATGTACTTACTGTTATGTACATTACGTTCATAATACGGTGTACCGTGTATATCATGGTATGACAGTTTATAAGATCTATAACAAAATTTGTTGGTTGCCAGTACGTTTAGAAATCTGCAGTAGCTTAATTCCAGTCTAATACTCTAATAGGTTACAATTTTTATGAATTCGTGGAAAGACACTTCACGTAACGTGTAAGGTGTTGTCTTTATTAAAGAACGAAAAAGTAGAAGCAAAACATAACAGATGGTATGTTACGCTGGTGGCCTATGGGTAATCTTTAATATATATTTTTTTTAATCTAAAAACCATAAATGTAGGTTTAATCTATATAACATTTTTATTACGCACTTCCTTTTATAATAGTCTCAACTCTCGTCTTCTAAAAACTTCAATTATTTTGTTTTTGTTATTTATTACGACATTATTAATTTACGCGAATTTTGTTAACTCGAGAATTAATAAGATATACGCCTACACGTATACTGTATAATGACTATAATGCATTTAGAGATTAGACATTATATGAATTATAATTGGATATTTAGGTGATATTAATGGAGGTATAACTACTTTTTAAAAATTAATTGATAAAAATTATCACTACTTTTTTTAAAAATTAACATAATAGGTATACACATGTTCCTTTAAAAAATTAACAATCTTTACAATACTTTTTTCTTATAAAATAGGTATTGGTACAATAAAAAAAATAAATACCACAGAGTTAAATCTATGTTTTACCGTTATTTTTAAAGATTAATGACCAAAAATATATAAAACACTAACATATTAAAAAAAATCAAAAATTTATCAATTTCTCGTTTTAATTTTATGCACATGATATGAAATTTCATATTAATTATTTAATTTTAATTATTTTAAGGGGATGTCACACCCTTATGTGTTGACTGTTGTCTCCGACAGTCCGACATCTTCGTTATATAAACTTATGACCCGGGTTGAAATGTATTTTAAACATGTGTTTAAAATAAAACAGAAGCTTGGATCTTAATTTTTTCTGTCAAATTTTGTTTGTAGATCATAATATATTCAACCATGGTGTAGATAATATAAGAATGATATTACTTTATAACATACCAATATATCACACTTAAATGGTTGTTATAAATTAAAAAAAGAATTTTTTTATAAATTGTTTAAAACATAACAAACTTTTAAAATAAAAACAATGGTTTAAATGAATAAAACTTTGTTTTATATTATTTAAAAAAAAACTGTTTTTTTACGAACCCTGCATATAATATATAAAATTATCGTTTATAAGAATTAGATCTGCACTAATTACAGTGTTTATTTCTGGAGGGTGACCAGAGGTGAAGGTTGTTTTATAGGAGTAATTTATAATTTATATACATTTCTTAATTTCTTATAATGTTATAGTTTTCAATATGAAGTATATTTTCTTTTACACAATATTATATTTATCTAGAATAAATTAACTTGTCATAGATTAAAGTTTATTAAGACCTTTATAGCAATATATCTTTAGCCTTTGGATCATTAAATTACACCATATTAATTCATATTAATCGATTATCAGTAGAAAATATATCAGACAATCAGATATTAAGTATCTGAATATTCTAATTAGTAATTTTTTTTTATCGATTCAAAATTAGATTTGCAATTTGTATTTACATTTTATGCAATAAGTAAATTGGATAAGGTTTGATTGATAAGAGGGGAAATCACCCCGTAAAAAGTGTTTTAAAGGAAAAAGTAGGTCTTTACTTCCTACGTCAGTTCTTTTTTAGCACCTAGGTGGATTAACTGTAATTTGTTTGGATGATAGATATGTGATTAAAGGATTTAAGTGAATGCATGTCTTGTGTGTTTTTTATAAGTGGCCGTAGCAAGATTATTTAAGGTTGGAATGCAGGTGTCTTTATAAAGTGAGTCATTGGTGGATAAACCAGGCCACCAGAAAGAACCAGATAATATTCGAAGACATATAGATTGGAATGCCTGTAGTTTTTTACCATTTGATGGTTTGGCTGAGCCCTCAAGTTGAATACCATAATATCACATATGGGTCTTAGAAGAGCCATGTATATTGTTCTTTTTAATTTTCAAAGGTGTTTAGATCTGAGTAGGGTCTAAGAAGGTGAAATCTCGATTTGAGAACTTGACGTTGAATTTTTAAGTAGGGATCCCATATGGTACGTTTGTCTAGAATTAAACTTAGTTTGCGACTTAGCGTGGAAGATAGAATTAGAGAGTAGTATTTTAAATTTTTAAAATAATTGTTATCAATAATGTTGTTATTGATAACAAGATCCATTATATTCAAAAATTTTCCAAAGAGACTAGAACTATTATACATGTATTCCAACCTCCCAGTGATAAAACATGTGTTATTCTTTTTGTTTTGTTTTTTTTTTTAATGCGTCAAGTAAAGAAAATCGTTAATATCCCTCCGTTCACTTGTAACAACTGATAAAACATATTAAATTGATACAAGTATATCCTCGTAATTCGTACTGAAATCCTTAACGTTAAATATCTATATTCTTACTGAATTGGACGTAGGAGGTACCTACTATGTGTAATTGAATTGATTGACAATTTTGAGAAAACCATTGAATAACTCTACAATTGACGTTAAGATATAAGTTGAGGTACGTTTTAAAATTATATGTAGTGTATTATGTACTATGATGTTATACCTTTATCATTCCTAGTCAAATTTAATCTCAAAACATAAACTAGAGTTAATATAAGAGTTACTTAGTTTATTTATTTTCTATGCACAAATATTGTGCCTAGTAATAATAATATCTAAATATACTAAATCTACATAATATACCTACTTATAATTACATAATATTACCAATTTTATTTTAATTGCTTCTATTGTATTTTAGTAAACCAACAGATTATTGTGTTGACATAATTGTTAATATTGTTTACATTTGTTCATTTATTTCTTGTATGCAATATACCTATTAAATATTTATTTTTTTAAGATTTTTAATGTTAGGTTAATTTGTAAGTTATTTATACTATTAATAAATCACTAAAAAACTGAATTTTATAATTTTAAAATTAAAGCTAATATTATAATAGTTTATTATAGAATACTTTAGCTACAACATATACTTAGATATTTTAAATTTTACCATACATCAACACTTTATCTATTTCATTTAAATTTAGTTTATGTAAAAGTATCTAATTTATGGTTTTGGGTGTAAACTTCAACAAATTTATATAGTTATGTTTATAATAAAGAAATTTTAGTTAACCATCAACCTACATAAAAAGAAATTTATCATACAAGACAATTTATGTAGGTTGGTCATATCCAAATAAGCAAACCTGTTTAGAACCTCTCACTCTATCTGTTGAATCTTTACATTGTACATTTCAAAGAATGCTTAAGTTTTTATCAATGTACTTGCATTAATCTT